TGGGGTTAAAGAATCCACTGTTTCATAATTCTGAACCTATACCAGACTCTATTTTCTAGTGGTCACTACCTTTTATTTTTATCTTTTCGTAACAAAAACAATAAGTAAATACAACAGCAACAAAAATGAAGTATAAAAACAATTTGACAGGAACGTGTATTTTTGTTAATTATTTCCTTGAACAAGTTTATCATGTAAAAACATTAAATATTTTAACGTTGATGGCGCTAATGATGCTCTCTGTTTCCGCTGTATATAGCCGGCCACACTAAATGAACTTTCACTTGCGACTGACGTTGCTGGTGTAATATTATATTCACGTACCAATGCTGCTAAACGTTTCAATATTTGTTCATTTTCACGCCAGTATTTATCGAATTTTGTATCATGTTCGATTGTTGATATGTAACGAGCGATTTCTTCTCGAATAGTCATCTCTTTTATTGTTGTTGCTTGTTCCAAGGATGTTTCTGATTGATAATCACAATTTATTAAAAATCTATCCATTTTTGACATCTTTTTTTGAGGAGTAGAAGGAGCTGCAGTACTATTATTTATTATTGTGATTGATGATGTCACGGATGATGCGGTTGTTTCTAATATTAAAATAATCGATTCTTCTGCACTTCTCTTATCCTCTTTACTCATTAATTTGTACGACAATGGATGCAAATACGATGCAATCTAAAAAGAAATGAAAACTCACATTACTCATGAATGAGTATGCTTTAAATATGTTTTAGAAACCTACTAGTGATGACTGCTCCTCTACTTCTTTGTGATGGTAAACTCTTATCTCTGATCAGAGCTGAGCAAGTCATACGTTTTGCAAGTCAAGAGACAAGTCAATTCGAGGTGAGAAAATTTTTTCTCCCAAGTCAAGTCATCCCTCGGAATTTTTTCCTAGAAATCAAGTCAAGTCTGGTTAAACAATATGCAGAACATAAAATTTGTTAGCGTCTTTTGGATGAGAGACAGTTTTTATCGTTTGAGAAACTCTGTTTCATGGTAAACAATGTCTAACTTAAACGAAAATCTCTTACTGGGAATGACTTGACTTGAAAAATTTTTAAAGTCCACTCAAGCCAAGTCAGACTTGACTTAACTTGGACTTGAGACAATTTTGACTTAACTTGCCTAGCTCTGTCTTCGATCTGCGTATTTTATTCTACTTCTAGGAACGTTTACAAAAAAAGAGAGAGAGAAAAAGTTAGATAATCAGGTTATGCGATAGATTTTTGTTTTACATTATTTTGCTTTATCTTCATAAACATTTATGCGAAGTAAGTGAATCTTTAGACCTCCTCTTCCTTTCATTTATTTTTTCGGGCTCTCTCAACTGGAAAAATTAGTTTGTTCTGCATCCCTAAAAAGGACGTTTAGGGCAAGAACTGCATTAAAGACCGTTCATACTTACCAATGCTCTAGTTTTTTCTTCATATGATACTGTTTCTTCAAAATAATGTTTAAGCTTTTTTAACAATTGACGTTTGAAAATATTTTGTATTGTTTGACCGTCGACTTCTCTCGATAAAAAATGTTTCAATGACTTTTTTATAATAAAGCCTAGTGACAATGTCTGATATTTTCGACCGGATAATATTTCGGTTGCTTCTAAAAATGGACGAAGTACATGTTCTAAATCCATTAAACGATTCCAATTTTCATGGCTAAATTCAAATTTCTTCATTTGTTTAATTTTTTTTGTTTTTAAACCAGCGATTCGATCAGGAGAAGCTGTTATTTGGTTGATAATAGTACGATGATCAATAAATCTTTTAATCATCAAATAGGTACTATTCCACCGAACATGGAAGTCAATAACCAAACCACCAATTGTAATTTTAATGTTTGAATTTGTTGGTGGTTCATCATTTTCATCAATAATTATAGGGTCTTGTATCTGTATAATTTTCGCTTGAGCACGAACATACGCATCAATATTGCTTGATTTTCGAATACAGGTGACTATTTTTCTTGTTTTTTTCAATAATTGATGAATTTTTATAATTTCTTTTTCGTCTAATGCATCAGTTGTTGTTATTAATTGTTGTTCTTCATTATTACTTTCTGCGTTTTCTTCTTCTTCTTCTATTTCCTCCTCCTCTTCGCTCGTTGAAGTTTCTTCTTCTGCTTGCAAGTGTTCATTATTATTCTCATCTACTTCATATTCGGTTGAATACTGACTATCTGTTTCATCGGCTAAATTTTCATCTATTCGATCGTCGTCTGCTGTTGATATATCATCGTCTTCTACCAAATCAGGAAATGATGTTTGTGTTTGTTCTGATTTTGTTCTTCTAAAAGTCAAGTGGATATTACTCTTTTTTTCAAACAAGACGAAAATGTGTGAAAAAATTTCCCTAAACATATCTAGACAACTACTCTAGTAAGACTGAACGACCTCTGATACATTGAAATATCAAGAAGTTTTTTCAGTAGTTCTGATAGCAATAGGAAACTTTATCTCTAAATCAAGGAGACTACGCGATCAATGTATATTTTTAACTCGTCACGTTTTTACTTATGAGGCAGTGCACGATACCGACGAACTAAGTTGCTCAATGAACTTTCACAAATTTTTCTCAAATTTTCAGAGCAGATAGCGAAATGTGTCCTGAACATTTTTGTCTCTTGACATTCTTTTCCAAAGTGCTTTCCCTCGACGCTAGAGCGCTTGCAAAAAAAAGGTCGTAAAATACGGAAAAAAAGCGATTTTCCAGTCGAAAATTTTTCTTGCGCTATAATTCCGTCAAATCAAATGCAAATGAAGTTAAATTTTTACCAGAGCTGTCTTGATATGTGTACTATCCATGATAAAAATTTGAACTTGTTTGAGTTAAGCGTTCTCCAGCAATAGTTTATTCTTTAGACATAGACAAAACGTCATCGGCCGTTTTGCAAAAAGGTTTTTGCAACCGAAGATAGTCCGGTTTCGTGAAGTAGACCCAGAGTACTATCATGAGCCGTCGTCGAATTTTTGGGGAAATGATGGAAAAGTTTTCTTTTAAAACCCATTGAATTATATGTCATTCGACGCAGAATTTCATTCTGCATCTGAATATGTATAAATGAAGATTTCATAGCGCATAGATAGGGAGAAAAATGCCAAAAACTTCGGATTTTCCAAAAATCCGCAAAAACGTTGGAAAAGTTTTTCCAAAAACATTTTTCCAGTAGAGACAAAAATAGTCTAACTACATTCTCTAAATAAATAGTATTATTTTAGTGACATTGTTTTCGACTGATTCAGCGCGTGCATGGCAAAAAAAGTCAACAAAAAAGTGGACAGCATTAAAAGTT